GCATCTTTTTACCTCTCGGAGCCTTTCGCCAGCCCATTTTCAGTTAACACTTCAATTTTGGGGGGGGGGAACCTGCAAATGGCGCAGGCTCAGTTGTGGCTTTTAATGCTTTTTACCCACGCCAAGAGTTGCTTTCAGCAACATTTAATTTGAGGAGGAGCAGAGCCTGTCTCAAAACTGCCCCACTAAGAAAACAAATAAACAACACCCTCCCTTATTTTCCTTTCTAAGGTGCTTCATTTCAACAACCCATGTTACATTTTACATTTTACCGACCCGAAGCAACAGAAACTACGGGTAAATTATGGAGCTTATATTGTACCCGGAGAAGTTGGGAGGGGAGACGGGTTTGGTGAAGGATAGTTGGGTCAAGGATACCTGAAAAGCCAACTTCTCGCCGGAGGGACGCAGGAGGCGGCTGGGATATTCGAATTGCCCTACGAGAAGGCAGAGATCCGGCGGGAGAGCTCTGGAGGGTGCTCGGCCGGAGAGGGAGCGCGCCGAGGGCTGCGGAGCCGTCCCCGAGGCGGGATGGAGAGCGGCCGAAAGCCCTCGGCCAGGCTCGGGAAGGGCCCCGCGGAACGAAGCCCTGCTCCCAGCACCGCCGCAGGCTCATTATTTTATAATCACCTAACCGACCAGCGCGCCAGCGCCGAGCGCGGGGGCATCCCCTGCGCGCAGCAGACCGGGGGACGCGGTAATTAGCAAATAATTGGCCACCAGAAGAAGCTCCTTCCTTCCCCTTGCAGTCGCCTCACACTCGGGCATCAAAGTTTTTCTTTCTTTTCTTTCTTTCCCCTTTTTCTTCCCTCGCGGAAAAAAAAAAAAAAAAAAAAAAAGGAGGAATCCTGTCTGAATCCTGTCAAATAAACCTCTAAATGTTTGCATTTTCCATATGATGTCTAATCCTATTTGGAATGCTTCTGAACATTTGGCCTTGATTACATCTTGGAGCAATGAATTTCACAGGTCATTGTGCCTCGACTAAAAAGTATTTCTTTTTGTCAGGTTCGCTGAATGTCCCCTTGTTCTTTAATTATAAGGCGGGATGAATAGGAGAGCTAGATTTACCTTCTCTATGCTGTCCATTATTCTGTGTACCTCTATTATGTCTCCTCTTATTCATCCCCTTTCTAAACAAAATCACCGCAATCTGTTCAACCTCCCTTGGCACGAAAATCCTCCCATGCTTGCAACCATCCCCGCTATTTGTCCCCGAACTCCTCCTAATTCCGCTACGCGGTTTTTGAGATGGGGAAACCAAAACAGAGCCCGGCTCCGGGGAAGGCAGACGCACACATGTATGTACATATAAATACATCCCCAACGCATCTAGTGCCACCCCGTCGGTTTTGGTGGCCTTTCTCATGTGCTTTTTCAATTCAACGGGGTTTTGGTCTTGTTTTCGGGGGTTCTTGCGTGCCGAGGAGACATTCCCGTGCGCCTCTAGCAGGGGCATACGCTCTCCTCCCTACATGTAGATGGTTAACTGAAATTCTTTCTTCTGATCCGGCCTGCCTTGCCCTTCGTGCGCGGGATGAGCACGGGCATCAAGGGCGGTCCTCCCCAGCGCCGCGCAGCACCGCACGGGCCACGCATCTCTCAGGTCCCTTTCTCTTTCCACGTATCTTCCCCTCGGCTTAATTGACCTGAAGAGTTCAAAGCATCCCAAAATACTGCCAGCTAACTCCTTGGTCCCTTCCTGCGTTCCACGTGCAACTCTATTTCAGGAACGAGATGCGGCGGTATAAAGCCAAACGCCTCTTAATCCCGGCAAAGACTGCGCCGGTCTAGTTCAGCTCTGCACATGCACAACTTCACCGCTTCCTAACCCAGAATCGCCGTTTCTCAGAGCTCCGCAGGACCACTGGTTTATCATTAACTTCTGCTGAGGGACTTGAAGATTTCCTTATTATTTTTCCGACATATTCAAAAAGAAAAAGATGGGAGAGACATGGTTTTTCCTTCGCAAGAGAGAAAGCAACTGCAAAATATTTCCTTTGCAAAGTGCAAAGCGGCAGCCCTGGAGATCCGAGCGGAGCGCGTAAGGCACAGGACAGACCTGATCCCGTGGCTTTTGTGTCATACCGCGTACCCAGGCAGCGGTGACAGACCGGGCACGCAGTGCCGCGAGCCCGAGGAGGGTCCGCAGAGTGCCGGCACCTTCATGGTGAAGGGTCGTGTAACCCGGAGCGAAACGCACGCCGCGGTGAGCACGAGCAGCTCGAACTCTGCACTGCCTTCTCCCCTCAAAAGGAAGTGTGTGTTTAAAATAAGGAGAGGATTACCTCCCGCTCCTTCCCCCCTCTCCAGCCCCGCACGCCACAACCGTGCCTGATGCTAAAAACTGCATCCAGCTTCCCAAGGGAGCGGGGGGTCCCCACGAACCACAACGCGACCGAAAGCCCTTTGAAAGCCAAAAAAAAAAAAAAAAGGAAAAGCATTTCAGGACTTCACGTTCACCTGACCCACAAATCAAAGAATAAGTGAAGCCCCAAAGATTTCACCCCCTCTCAACGTCCCCCTGCGCGCACACACACAAACACACACACACACGGAGTCGGCACCTCTGTGCCCGCGGCTACGGGAAGAGGGGTACACGGGGGCACGGCCTCGCTGCTGTGGGTCGGCCCCACTGCCCTGGGGCTGCTCTCACCCCACGCTCCCGCCCCGCTGCCACGGGGCCGCTGCTCCCCATCCACCACCGCGGCGGCCGCCGGGGACCTCTTCTTGCGGGCCCCC